CCAAGCCGGTGGAGCTTGAGGCTGTTTGTGTGTTTCACCTGATCACGTGATTTTGACAACCTGTCTTGACAGGTTCTGTTTCTATATTGACAAGTGGGGTGACTTGAAAGCCATTATCTCGGGTTTCACTTTACTCATGGGGATGGTGGTGGAGATTGAATTAGCTCCATGTTTTGAAGGCTTTGGTTCTTGGGGTCCCCGCCAGGACACCTGGGAGTGGCTGAGCCTGGCTCCCCTCCTCTCCTCCGCCCCCAGGGTACCTGTTCCACAGGAGCAGCGTCTGAACACGTTGCATTGCCCACACGCTGTGCTTGGAGTCCGCAGACTTTCGTGAATGGGAAAAGTTGTTAGTTTCTTACCGGAGTGTTGCAGTTCCGGATATCACTTTATTGGTGGATGAGGGGGAAATATCAAGTGATTTTCCTTTAAATGAAGCCCTGAATGTGTGGGAGAAGAGTAGTCACGCATAATTACACAGGGGTAGGATCAGAGCTCCCCTAAATGAGTAAGTAGGTAAATCTCTGTAAGCGCAGATAGATACAGACACAGGCCTGGGTGACATGACAGCCAGCTGTGATTCGCAAACTGTAGCCTGCTCGAAATCGTCAGCCGGGCTTTTATAGACACAAGTGGCTGGACCCCATTTCCCAGATCTTCTGACTTAAAGATTTATAATAACTTTCATTCTTAAGTTCTCAGGTGATATTACAGTTTCTGATTCAGGGACCACTTTTGTAGAGCCTTCCTCTAAAACAGGAGTTGGCAAAGCACAGGCCAAATCCACCCTGCCTGCTGTCTTTGTACAGCTCTGGAGCTAAGGAGAGTTCTGGCAAAGGAAGAAATCAGTTACAGGGCCCCAGAGCTTGGAGCTCCAACAATTAAGCCAAATACTATGCCAAGAAAACATTTCATTCTTCTCCTAGTAAATATGTACATGATATTATAAAAAAAAAAAAACGACACTCAATCATCACTGTTATTATTGATACATTTTGAAATTCATCACTAAGCCTACATTCAAATATTTCTGATTCTGAATTATTTCTGTTTTTAAAAAGCATTACATTGATAGGAGAGAAGTAATACAAGGGCTGTTCTAATTATTCCACTGAGCATAGACAAAATATTTTAAGATAAATGAAACTTACTGTGTATTCTGATTCTACATGTTCATTTGAAGAACAGGGAAAAGGAAAGAGAGAGACAAAATAATTATTTAGAGGACGACGCTTATATACAATATAAAACTACAGAACTAAAAATACTCAGTTATTATAATTATTAAAAATGTGCTAAAGAGACATACCAAAAATTAAACTTTCATAAATACTGGGGAAAAAGAGATAGTGTTTTATGGTCTAAAGCAGTGGTTAAAAACCACATTATTTATGTGAATTTTATCTATCAGTATTTATCATATTACAAATAAAACTAATAAATTTTTTAAATTTTTATTATTTATTGAGACAGAGTCTCACTATGTTGCTCCAGGCTAGAGTGCCATGTCATCTTAGCTCACAGCAATCTCAAACTCCTGGGTTCAAGCAATCCACCTGTCTCAGCCTCCTGAGGAGCTGGGACTACAGGTACCTGCCACAATGCCCAACTAACTTTTCTATTTTTAGTAGAGACAGGGTCTCACTCTTGCTCAGGCTGGTCTCAAACTCCTGAACTCAAGTGATCTTCCTGCCTCAGCCTCCCAGAGT